CTCATAGTAAAAAAACATTATTTGCCATCCTTTTCTAGGAAAAAATGTTGAATTTTCTCCACGTGACTAAATGTGCTAATGCAATAAAGGGATATATGGAAACATCGGCTTATTATGAAAACGTGTCAACCAGGATTCTGATAGATGTTTTACATTTATTTTGTATAGTAAAAGATGATTCCTTAAGAGATGCTAGGATTTATGCCTCCTGGGAAGTTAGGTTCATTTATAAGTTAGAGCGATAGGTTATGTCATCATGGGACACATTTATATTTGAACACTCTTATATTTTCAAGAGTGGGTGGGTAGATACTAGAATCACCTGCACAAAACTTAGGGAGCGTTTCCCTAGAAAATCATGTACCCTTGAATGAGAATCACTGCTTTGGTAAGTCGGGGAGCCAGACCTTGAACCCAGGCCTTAAAACATATTCTATGTTACTGTCATTGCCACAATTTGCTTTAGAAGTTGCATTGACGTTTTCTAGGTTAATTTGAGTGTCTTCAGTGAAAGAAAAATCATATTAATTGAACACTTACTCTGTGGTCCTCACCAACATAAATACTCAGAGCCACAGCAAGCAGTGCAAACGGTATATAAGTGCTAAGCCTATCTGGAAGAAAGAGGTAAACAGGGTTGCAGGATGCGTTACAATAGACGTGCACGTTGAAGCAGGCCTTAGAAAATAGATAACATCTGGTCTGATGAAAGGCCATGCGTGGGGACACCTTGTGAAGGACAGAAGCAGGGTCAGATGTGGAGACCGAGAAGAGATGCTGAGTTGTCTATGCTTTGGGGAGCAGACAGCCACGGAGAGCACAGTGGATCAGATCAGATGGGGCCAGATCACAGCGGGACCTTTGAAAATTAGCCAAGTGAGTTTGAAGTTTTTATCATATGAAGTGGGGAGTAATTTAAAACTTTTGAATAAGGTGTGTGATCTAAAAGCAATTTAAGAAGTTCTGGCTGGCATTGTGTACAAGTTAGTTTTGAGCAGAGAAAACTGGGTATGGGGACCAGCAGGTAGATTTTACATATATATATATATACACACACACACATATATATATACACACACACATATATATTTAATTATATATAATTACAATTATATATATTACCTATATTATATATGAAATTATTTTTGGCTCAAGTTGTTGAATACCAAAATTGTGGTAGTGTCTGTGAGTTGAAATAAATCACAAAGAAAGAAAATTACCACAGGACTAACTTTATAGAGAGAGGAAAAGAAAGCTCTGAACATAAAAAGTAAGCTTCTAGGAAAATGGAGGTAATGTTCCTCCTATAAATGGGAAAATCAGAAGGATACCTAAGATGTTGAGAAAAAGCTATCATTTGGTCCTCGCTTATTATTATTTTATATATAGTAATGTGTATATTTTAATCCCAAACTCCTAATTAATCCCTAGTCTCTAGAAGGCACTGGGGCTTAACATCAAGCAAGGAAGGGTGTGAGGAGAGGACAGACCTGTAGAAACCTCCATGTGACCCAAGAGGGAAAAGATGATACACAAGAAGCCATGACAGTGCACATGTTCTGAGGGAGAAAGTGCAGAGGGAGAAAGCAAAACAAGACAAAAAGACAAATAGAAAACAACAGAGAAGAGAGAGGTGAAGCCATAAGCATCGTAGGTGGAAACGGTTCCGTCTTTTTTCCATCATTAGCTCACCTATCCCCACTCTCCTAGATACCAGAATATGTGATTCATTATTATTTCTTTATCCTATTTAAGCAATAAAGTGAATACAAGGAATACATCCTGAAATAGTTTTGACTTCTGGGTGGGTTGGAAAATAAACCTAAGCACGCGTGATCCTCCCTACTTCAGCTTTTACCACCTGCTCAGCACCACTGGCAGGTGTGAATTATCACAGCGTTTTTTTCTTTAAATAATGTAGATCTTCTTTTTGTACTTGTCTTTTTAATTTTTTATTGAAATGTAGTTGATTTATCATGTTGTGTTAGTTTCAGATGTACAGTAAAGTGATTCAATTATACATATATATAAACATATATTCTTTTTTTTTTACATTCTCTTCCATTATAAGTTATTACAAGATATTGAGTTCAGTTCCCTGTGCTCTACAGAAGGTCCTTGTTGGTTATCGCTTTTATATATAGTAATGTGTATATTTTAATCCCAAACACCTTAATTTATCCCTCCACTCCGTTGCCACTTTGGTAAATAAGTTTTTTTCTATGTCTGTGAGTCTATTTCTGTTTCGTAAAGAAGTTCATTTAGATCATCTTTTTAGATTCTACAAACCATAATTTGAACAGACACATGCACCCCAATGTTCACAGCAGCCCTGTTTACAATAGCCAAGACATGGAAGCAACCTAAGTGTCCACTGACAGATGAATGGATAAAGAAGATGTGAGATGCATACACACACACACACACACACACACACAAAATGGAATATTACTTAGCCATAAAAGGAATGAAATAATGTTGTTTGCAGCAACAGGGATGGACCTAGAGATTATCTTACTAAGTGAAGTGAGCCAGACAGAGAAGGACAAATATCCTATGATACTACAGCTCTTTTAGGGCCCAGCCTTCCCTGGCTCCCAGAACACGAGGCATGTTTTGATCAATGATACCATAGCACCCTGTACTTCTCCTTTCTAATTTTTCTGAATTTTCAGGAAGCCATTTTAGGCATACTGTTTGTCTCCCCTGAGTAAACATAAACCTCATTAAAATATGGGAAATTGGTGTCTTCCTCACCCATATTCTTAGCATCCACTGCAGTGCTTTGCACGTGGTGGGCCCTTGATAAATGTTTGTTGAAAGAGCAAAGAACAAATGAGCTCTCTAACTTTTACTGCCCACAAAGTAGATGTCAGCATCCTTCTAACACCTGTTCATTCCCCCAGCAAATGTTCTTCTACCACTGATAATTCCACCGAGAGGGCTGATCACAGCTGCTTTTATATAATCAAATGCATAATTTGTTGCTTAATATCTTTGCTCCTGGATAGATTGTAAGTCTCTCTTAGGGCAAGAGTGGGTTTTTGGTGACCACACTCTGTACAGTCCCTGGCACATAGTAGGTATAAAATAAATGGATTCTGAATAATGAGTAAAGGATTATATTCATTTGTTTCGAAAAGAAATAAAACTTAAATGATATGAAAAACATTTTCTAAGGTCCTGTAGCTAGTGGAGTCATCTCATAGTCCAAAGCCTGCTTATTGTCTTTTTTTCCTTGCTAAATCGGAAGCACAGAGTAAAAGACTATCTAATTTGCCAAGAAAGGCTATTACTACCCGTTAAGATAATTATTCTAATATGGACATGAGGCATTGTCTAATAGTTTGAAGCAGGGGTGGGAGAGGAAGGGTGTGTGTGGGTGAGGGTGTATTGAAAGGTCTCTGTGTGAATGGACGCCAGCTTATCTTATTCTTTGTATCTGTATCTGGTGTCTGTGAAGGATGGGGAGAGAATGGCCAGAAGGCAGTTAGCAGAGGCTGAGGTTAGCCATAGGTCATGTGATGCAGACATTGCAAAGCTTTTCTCTGAAGAGCAGCTTATATAAAAGTGGCATAGGGCTTCCCTGGTGGTGCAGTGGTTGAGAGTCCGCCTGCCGATGCAGGGGACACGGGTTGGTGCCCCAGTCCGGGAAGATCCCACATGCCGCGGAGCGGCTGGGCCCGTGAGCCATGGCCGCTGAGCCTGCGCGTCCGGAGCCTGTTGCTCCGCAACGGGAGAGGCCACAACAGTGCCCGCGTACCGCAAAAAAAAAAAAAAAAAAAAAGGGGCATAAAGATAGTGTTCCTATCCAGCACAGAACTTGTTCTCTAGCATCAGCTTGCCACTGCTTGGTAAATTAGTGATGTAATATCATTTGAAGCCACTAGTTCAGAGAGTTTCATCTTTAAGTCAAATTTATTAATATAATGAAAGGTTTTTTTGAAAAGTGCTTGTGTATTTGCAATGCAAATATTAACCTTGCTGAGCCTCAGGTTTCTAATTTGTAAATTGGGAGCATTTATAGCTAATTCATAACTCTAAAGATTATCTTTAAGATTAGAGATAATTTAAGTGCAGCCCAAACAGAAGCTGGGATATACTAGGCACTCAGAAACTGACAGCTAATATAAAAGGTTGTTGCAAAAGCATAGATGTCAACTTTTCTTTTGATGCCTTCTTCTCCTTTATAAATACCTTCAAATATGTCTGAAGATCAGTGTCGTCTGTATACCATAAATTCTGAGCTGCTTGAATGAAGGGAACTCTTTCCATTCCCCAAATTGCAGTCTTCAAAGTATCTTGATAATGACCTAGGCAGCCTATTTAGGCTCCTTAAATAGAGGAAGAGTTAGGGGAAGGCTTTTTAATTTTGAAAAATAATATTATTATGAAAGATGTCAAAAGTCTTCGAAGTGGTTATACAATTCAAAGCAAATGAAGTTAAATTAGAGAAATGTTACATCAAAAGCATGGTGAAAGTAATCAGCACACTATAGACTTGAAAATTAGAAAGTTAGGAAAAGAAAAAGAAGGAAAGAATAAGAGAATGAATGAAGAAAAGAAAGAATGAAAGGAGGGAGGGATGGAAGAAAAATTTGGAGAGGGTGGAAAAGACATTTTAGGACACAGGAGACCCTTGACCAAGACTGAAAATGAAGCACAAAAATAGTCATGTCACTGGCTTTTTCCCCAGTGGGATTTTGTTGCTCCAGTAATTGCTCTATAGAAACTCACTCTAAATAGGGTAAAGTGTGCAAGGCAACAAGGCGTGGAACTTAAGTGGTTTGTTCTTTATTCCCAGGAGCTGATCCGTGAACAAGGCTCATTTTAGAATCAATTGTTATGAAATTGTTTCATCACCTGCCAATGATTAGTAAACATCAGAAGAATTCGGTGTATTAAAAGAACGTGTAGCAAAACCAGAAGAAAGCCTGGGGTCCGGTTCATCCCTGCAGACTTTGCTCAGCTAATGCTCTGTCTTTCTGCCTTGTTCACAGAACCGAAAGTAAGCTGCAAACTAGGCCGGTCTGCGTCCACATCAGGTGTGCCCCCTCCATCCGTTACTCCTCTCAGGCAAGCCAGTGACCTGCAACAGAGCCAGGTACCATCATCGTTAGCCAATCGTGATTGACTTCCTGTGATGCGACATGCCAAACGCTTTCCACCTCTGTCTGTCGTGTGTTGCTGTAACAACTTTGCATTTGCTTTTATTTTTCTGTGTGTGTGTGGGTGGGAGGGATGAGCTGTGGCCGTCTGTGTTTTCATTCAAAAAGGAAAGTCTTTCTTCCTTGCGATTGGTGAAACTTTCTTCGCTGTTTGTTACCAAATCGTTTTTGTCTCTGGTTTCCATCATTCTGTACTATAAATGTAAACTTGTACTATATGTATTGGCTTAGTGGTTATTTTTTTAAAGTTCTTTCTCTCTTCCGTGTTTTGTGTACTTTTATACCGTCTCCGAAAATTTATCAACGTTTGATAAATTTACCGACTTTGTTTTATGTAGATTTCTTTTTAAATGTTTTGTCCACAACCCTTGCACAGATGTTGTCAATGAATTTGTACATATTGTTTAGTTCTTATCCTATTATGCTGTAATATTTGTGGCCGTCTTACTTCTACTTTTATTTAGCTTGGAGCATGACTGTAAGACAGTGAATATCGATGTCCTGATAAATATTCATATACCAACTCATTTGGATTGAACACGGCAGCTGGTCTTTTTTCTTGGCCATAAAGACAAATTGACCAACCAGATAATCTAGGTATTTACCCCAAACTGTAGATTAATAACGCAATCTTTAAATAAATGACTTTTCTCTCTTATACCAAAAATATCAGAAATGTTCTCAGTAAGGGAATGTAAGTGTTTATGCATGGTATATGAGATCTCTATTATCATTTGGAGAAAAGATACAAGGAATAAAGGCATAAGCTACAGTATCACTTAATCCTTTAGAGTACAGTATGTTGCTCTGATGTTCATTGGTACATGCTTGTGTACGGAGGATATAGTATGGGGAAAAATCACTACATGTAAATGCTCTATCTATAATTCATCCAATAGGAATTCAGTACAATGACAATTTGTGAAGCTTAATTGTTGTTACTGTTAAATGTATTATGGGTGTTAAATAGGATAGTACCATCCTGGAGTGGTTTCTCTCTGCTTGTCCCAGCTTTAATGTTCACTTTCATAAAACTCTTCTGAAATTGTAAATTATAAAACTAGCAATGATACCTCCATGGGAACTGTCCATTACTGATTAGCAAATTACATATTCATCAATTATATAAATGTCAAGCTATTTTAAAAACATAACCAGGAAGAATAATTGCATTTTTTCTAATGGGAGACAGGGTGCTTTATAGTATTTTGGTCTGGCTTAAATATGCACAGCATTTGATTCATGAATATATGAGATATCTACAAATGCAAGAGATGAGAGGCTCCTCTCAAGAGCATCTCAAGTGCCATTTAGAATTTCTTGTGTCTTAATTTAACATTTTAAATGCTTTGTAACCAAATGAATCCACCTCAAACACTTTTTTGGGTATAAAAGGGGTAGAAACAATAAGACAATGAATAAATAAATAAATAACACAATTAACCTCACTAAGATAAATTGCCACCTTAGTTGATTAAAGCTATTCCAAAATATTACATTTACAGATTTTCAAAGCTCAAAAACTTGAATACAGAAAGGAGAGACCTTTAGCTAGCTGGCGGAGGATTGCATCAATACAATCAATTTTCCAAGTATATATACCTTGCTATTGCATTACCTCGGTATCTCAGAGAGGTTTTGTGTTCTTTGTTTTCATTTGCTTTTTCTCCTAATTATCTTTATAGTTGTTTCATCCTATGCCCCTTCAATTCTCAATGAAAGCAGTTTCCTGGGGTAACTTACAGACAGAAACAAGGTGCAACTCTGTACCTTTGCATTATCAGCTCTTCGCTTACCTGGTAGGATGTTCTTCATTCTTCAAAACACAGCAACAGGAGAAAGACCCTCTTGTTACTTAGATGCTGCACTTTTTCTCTCCAACCAGGAGAAATTCTGGCACACAGCCACATCATAGAAGGGGTGTCAGGGCTGCAAATTAGAAGGCTGGCCTCTGAGTCTCTCCCCTGTGGCTTGTGACCAGATGTAGTATTCACCTCTTCCCATATGCTAGCGCTAATGGGGTAAACATGGCTCAGAAGAACCTTGCTCTGCATTCCTACAACTTGGAATTGAACTAAAGGCAATGGGTACTTATTGAAGACCCTCTTCTCACCTAATTCCCATGCTCTTGACTGAGATGTCTCCTTAAGTTACAACCAGGATGGCACCTCCCTAGGCTTAGCCACCCCAGGCAATGGTGAAAGACATTTAAAAACATTGAATATTCGTACACAAACTAGGATACGGAACACCTAGCATTATCCGACAAATAATCATCCTGGTCACTTTTTTAAAAAGTGTTTTTCCTCCACCGGGATTCCTGATAGTTATTAAAACACAGAATGCTTAATAGACTTAATAGATGATTAATAGACTTCTTACTAGGAAATCTTTGGAAGACCATGTGATCTGTTTCAGACAAACAAAAGCAGTCACTGAAATAATTCCGGTAGTGCTTATCTATCGAGGAGTCTGGCTTTAAGAAGCCACATTAAGGGACATTTCTGCTCATAGAGAAGGAGCTGTGTTTTTTTTTTTTTCCAGGTTGTTCACATCTTATCTCTTTTCAGCTCCCTCAGTACTAGTTTTTCACCCACCACTTCAGATCATGGTTGGAGCTTTCTGAGAAGTATTGCAGGAGGAGACAGAAGGGACGGAGGTTACTCCAGCAGAGATGGGTAGAGCTGGCCAAAAGGGACTGCCGCCCACCCCCAGGAGCCTAGGCCAATGATGATGGACCACCCCTAAAGAATCTGGAGACAGTAGTGATTGACTGACCCGCCGAGGAGCCCGGGGCGCATAGTGACTGCCCACCAAGGGCATTTGTGTAAAAATAAAAGTGGAGGTAATGTTTGCTTGGCTATGCAGTCTGTTTCGGCTTCAGGTAATATAGGAGACACAAGATTTGTAGAAATGTATAGTCTCATCTGACTGGAACTTTAAAATACGTAGGAGAAGACGGGAAGTTCAAGAAAGAAGTATGAGTTCCAAAGCATTTAGAGCTTCTTACACAACGCGTAATACTCTCTAAAACTCGGTGAGATGAAAAATAGATCTTTTCTTTCTTAATTCACTCCTGAATAAATAGAGCAGTCACGGGGCAATTAGGGGAAAGTGACATTTCCTTGGAATTTTACGGCAAAGCAGCCACATATTTTGGCATTTGTCATAAAGCAAACCTTTGGAAATTAGGTTGAATTTCTGCATCTTCCATGAGAAAGCTATTTTATTTTCTTATTTATAAAAGAAAAACGGTATAGGAGAAATATTTTGCACTTGAAGCACATCACTTTATCTTTTTTTTTTCTTCTTCTGTAGTGAAGTAGAAAGCTGTGTACTCAGAAGAAAGAAGTGTGAGTGCCTCTATAGACAGCAAATGCTGTTCATGTGATCCCTCCATCTCTGGACTATGGTGTTAGTGACCCCCATTAATCTGGAGATGGGGCCATCTCTAGTTTTACTGCAGCAGGTGATGGAATAGAAACTAAGGAGCAGGGCCATGAGAAAGCCAGTCTTTCCTTCAAGGAAGGAGCAGCTAGGGTGTGTCTCCAAAGTGCCAGCTCTCTTTGGAAAAATGTTCCCAAGAAATGTCTGTACTTATTTTTTTTGGGAAGGAAGGAGATGAGAGCCACATCCTCTGACACACACACGCACACACACACACACACACACACACACTCTCTCTCCCCCAATATACTTATGCACATGAATACACACAAACTCTCACATACTCTGCCCACTATCTCACACACACACACACACACAATCACACACTCACGAACACACACACTTCACATTTTTTAAGTAACAGCCCCCCAAGTCAAATCAGGGAATCACAGAGCTAACAGTGACCTAAGTGTTGAACTGAGAACTCACCTTCTCTCTGAGGTTTGTCAGTTGTTCTAAACTAGATTATCTCTGATTACCCTTGATGTCAGGAAGTGGGTAACAGAAAGTCATCTGTCACTTCCTTTGGACATACGTTTCAAAATCTGAGAGCCCCACATTTCTCTAGAAATTTAAAAATCGCCCCTGAAGCTGTTATCTCTTGCTCCGTGGGCCCTGTGTGGCTTGAGAGCTGCCTTCTCACTACCCAGAAGTGGCCTTGTCCAGGCTGGTCCATGCTGTGCACTTATAAGCTGTTATCCAGGGAAACAAGCCCAGTTCCTTTCAACTTGCCCCTTCAGGATTATTTCTCAAACATTTATTTTTTTTTAATTTTTTAATTTTTTTTTTGCGGTACACGGGCCTCTCACTGTTGTGGCCTCTCCCGTTGCGGAGCACAGGCTCCGGATGCGCAGGCTCAGCGGCCATGGCTCACGGGCCCAGCCACTCCGCGGCATGTGGGATCTTCCCAGACCGGGGCACGAACCCGCATCCCCTGCATTGGCAGGCAGACTCTCAAACACTGCGCCACCAGGGAAGCCCAAACATTTATTTCTTTTGATGGCAGTCCTCTGGGCTCCCTCCAAGCTTCTAACATCCTCCTTTCGCTTGATGACCCTGCTGGGGCCTTATGAGAGCCTGCCCGGGCTCCTGCAGAGCAGAATACCTTCTTTTTTCCCATGCGCTCCATGTCTATGTCTGCGCGCCAGCATGTGGCCAGCTTTCCTAGATAATGGAAGAATGTACTAGCATCCATAGCTTGATGCATGTCTAGGGTGTGTTTCTGGACATGCCTGGATGTCAAAGTTGTTTTCTAGATATAGTAAAAAAAGGGAGCTAAATCACCCAAAGATAGAAATTAGGGATCAGTACATGTGAAAGACTAAGATTGAGAATTTAAGGGGATTCCCTGACAAAGACTTTACCCAGTTTACAATGTGACACTCCACGACTTTGGTTGACTTACTAAATATCTCTCTCGATAAATGTCTCTTTCTATATATCCTCGAAAAAATGTTTTTCTCACACAGTCTAATTTTGTCTTTTCTCTTGGTCTTTAATACCTTCAGAGTAGTGAGGT